GTAAAGAGTACATATATTCAGTCACAAATGTAGTGGAGTAGAGAGTAAAAGTTGCTTATATTTTTGATACTCAGTACAAGTACAAAGTAGCCAAAAAAATACTTAAGTACAGTAACGAAGTCCATTTACTCAAGTACTTTACACCACTGGTATTCATCCATCCATCTTCCAACCTCTTAGGGCTGAAGAAGAGCTGAAGCCAACTCCAAGCAGCACAGGCCACAAGGCAGGGATATGCCTAACAGGATGCCAGTCCATCACAGGGCACAGATTTTCACATTCACACATAATATACTACACAATCTATATGCAGTACACAAATATTTTGTCAGATGACTAACAATTGTAATAGCCACTGCAGATGCCTATACTTATTCTGGTAAATACTTTACGTTCTATTATTTAACTATTCGTTTACTTTTGAATTGTGATACTGGATATTAAGAAATCATTACAGCTACGTCACATCTAAATATGTAACGAAACATCATCGTGGGGGCGCTATTCCTTTTCAACAAACCAAAATGCCTTATAAAAAATATGACCCGGAAACGGAAGTGAAACCCTGAGAATCTGTTGTTGAACCTTAATATTCTCTGTTTTTCTTGAATGAAATAATTTCTTTTTATTCTAATTAGATTTGGTTCTTTGTTGGAATTTCAGACATCTAGCTATATAAAATATTTCCTGAAGTTCCCAGTCATGGTATGTATTTCGTAACATTAGTACTTAGATGTTCCTTTTATGTGTAAAATGTATGTGGTTGTAGCTAACGTCGTTGTGCAGTAACACTAACAGGCACGTCATACACTTCTGCATTGGCTGCGTGATATTAGCTCGTTCAGTTTTCTGTACTTTATTGTCATTGAAACGCTGCACTGAAGAGCTTCAGTGTGAAATGACTGCCTAAATAATTAGCCCGACAGTTATATTTCGCCAGCTTAATAGATAGGAATTACATTATTTCGCGCCGCATTAGCTGGAAAAACATTAAGTTTGCTAGATTAATAACTTATAATAACATTCTTAGCGACAACGGAGAGATTTTCATTGTTTGTATGTAGTTGTGATTGATTTATAATGGCTGGCGGTGTTTCCTCACGAACTACGTTATTGTCCTTCTTCTTGTAAATGTCTTAAACTTACAGTATGCCCAAGTGTTTGTTGCTGACGAGCTTTTGATCCATCCCTGTGCCATAGTGTTACTATCTAGTCCATAACGCTGACGTACAGTTACCTTTAATAAGTGAAAAGCCAAAATTGTTTTATATGTGGTATCATATAGACCAATATATGGTGGTACAATTTTTGAATGGGTTCAAGGGGCAAATTTTGGGAAGAAAATTTAACTAAAAGAATGTGACCTCACTTAAATAGTATTTTGCAATATGATTTATTTTATATATCTAACGGTATTAACGTTCATTATTACCACAAGCTTGTTCCTAGTGAACCCAATTTTTGCTGTGTAATGTGTGTAATAAAAATATTGATAGGGTTGCTCTGGTTTTATTATGGTATTAAAGTGCCACAAGTAACCACCTTCTTAAAGATTTCAGATGGTAAAGTAATGCCCCTAAGTTTTTAATAAAAGATGGGGTCCTGTGTTGCCTGGCTTAGGCTCCAGGTTCTCCCACCAGCCTGACCAAGATGAGCAGATTTAAGAACTGATGGATGGATGTGTGACATTTGCAGAATGGATGCCATAATTTGCAGCTCTGCCAGCTACTGCAGTTTCTCTGACTATATCTTCATCTTCAGGATAGTGAGGTGTCGGACTTCGACCAGGGGCTGGGGGCGGAGAGCGGCATGGATGGAGAGAATGGCGAGAACAGTGAGAATGCCCCTGTCTACTGTGTCTGCCGAAAGCCAGACATCAACTGCTTCATGATGTGAGTACTGTTAGTGATGTGCTGTCTTTATGAGTGTTTCCATAATGATCAAGAACTGACATGCCCATTTTCTCAGGTCTTTCTTGGCTTTGTGTCATTACCCTTAAGTATATGCTTTGTTGAAGTGGAAATACTGAAATGGTCACTGTCTCTTGTGTCCTGCAGCGGTTGTGACAACTGTAATGAGTGGTTTCACGGTAACTGCATTAATGTCACGGAGAAGATGGCGAAGGCCATTCGGGAGTGGTACTGCGAGAAGTGTCGGAGTGAGTGTCCCTTAATACAACAAGTTGTGCTTTTTGGGCTTTGTGGGATATTTCTGTTATTGTGTGATGACAGCTGTGTGTGATTAACATAGCAATACCCTTTATAGGCAAAGATGGCTCTTTGGAGATCAAGTACCGTCCCAAGAAGAGCCGTGAGAAGGAGACCGACCAAGAGAGGATGGAGAAGCAACGTGGTACACCAGATTTCAAGACAGACAGGCGGCGTGGATCTCGGGTCAGAAATATTACAGTTTGCTGTTTGCTATTTATTGCCTTTCCATTTATTTATTTTTTTCTCCATGGAGCAAATTATATGCACATAATGGTAACTTAGAGTAGTCAGTTTCTTCCAGTTAGTTAGCTGTATCCATTAAAATGCTGCAATTGGAATGGGTGTGACCCCTGCTCTGTATTGCAGCATTTGTCCCAGGGCTCTAAGGTCACATCTTTTCCATGTTCCACAGATCAAGCGCTCGGCCCGTATGTGCGGTGAATGTGAACCTTGCCGGCGCACAGAGGATTGCGCGCAGTGCGACTTCTGCAAGGACATGAAGAAGTTTGGGGGCCCCAACAAGATCCGACAGAAGTGCCGTCTGAGGCAGTGTGAGGTCCGAGCCAGGGTGAGTCTCACACCAACCTGTTCTTCTTAAACCATGGAGTCCTCATAGATGCATACAGTGCAACATCAGAAGCCTGTAAGAGCCGTCACACTCCCTTCTGTGCTGTTTTTTTGCCCTGGTGGCTGTCTTAGCGACTCTCCATTTGCAGAAAATGCTGCGGGTTCGAGATGAGGAGTTTCCCCTGATGAAGGAGCAGGACTGCTCCCTGCCGAGAGAGCGTCACCTATCAGATGATTATGACGAACAGGAGCTAGAATTGTACCAACAGTACCGGGCTGCAGGATATGAGGACCACAACATGGTAACAGTGCATGGGGGATGTGTGCAGATTCACTGCCACGCTAGTTACTGTTTTCAGTCTCAATTTTTCAGCTAGCTTTTCATAATGAAAAACCTTTTAGTTCAAAACAAATAATGAAACTGTCAAGTTAATACTCAGAACTCGCTTCTCTAGGTTTTTTGAGCTAGGTTTGACTTTTGTCTTCTGTTCATCTGGGATTGGTAATTTCCATTTTGATCTATAACTACTGTGCAGAATATCAGTGTAAATGTTGCTTTCTCTTTCTGAACCTCCGGCAGCCTTGGCTTAGTGATGAGGATGACGGACCTTTCCTCGATCCCGTGCTGCGCAAGAGGGCTGTGAAGGTCAAACACGTGAAGCGGCGAGAGAAGAAGTCAGAGAAGAAGGTATGTGGCCGTCTCTCCCACAGCCATCTGCCCCTGGCCTTTGGGCTGCAGTGGCAGCCTTCGGCCGGCTGCGTGACGCTGGGGAGGAAGAGCAAACGGTCGGTGCTGAAGAGGCCCTGTCTGTCTGCTTGCCCTCTCTCAGAAGGAGGAGTATAAGTCCCGGCGCCACAAACAGAAGCAGAAACACAGGGACAGAGTGAAGCACAGCGAGAGGGGCGAGCCACGAGACAGCGGAGGCCTCCGCCAGTGCCTGGGGCCCGGCTGCGTAGAGGCTGCCAGGACCAACTCCAAGTACTGCTCCGAGGACTGCGGCATGAAGCTGGCTGCCAAGTAAGGGAGGGAATCAGAGGTTGCGTTTGGCCAGCTTTCTAATACTTAAGTGCAGATGGAGAGAGGGAGGAAGGTCATTTAATAAAGGGGTGTACAGTGGAGCTCATTCTGGGTTGCATCTCAGTGCAGACTGTAGCATTTTAACATTTGGTGTAGGTTGTGTGTGTGGAAAGCCAGGATGAGAGAGGTGGCAGGGTTGAGGGGGTGTCCTGGAAAGAAGGGCAGAGGGAGCCCAATAAGGCGTGGGCTGGTGCCGTAACTTGGCGCGGTTCCCTACCCATAGCCGCATCTACGAGATCCTGCCGCAGCGCATCCAGCAGTGGCAGCAGAGCCCCTGCATCGCTGAGGAGCAGGGGAAGAAGCTGCTGGAGCGCATCCGGCGCGAGCAGCAGTCAGCCCGCCTGCGCCTCACCGAGATGGAGCGGCGCTTCCACGAGCTGGAGAGCATCATCGTCAAGGCCAAGCAGCAGGTGGTGCAGCAGGATGAGGAGGTGAGGGCCCCTTGCTGACCCTTAGGGGGTGCTAACTATATGTCCTTTGCCTCTGATTGGATTTCACCAGATTTATCACAAAATCACCGTTTTATGTAGTTTGCACTTAATGTATGTTGTTACATTGATTTTTTTAAAAAAATTATTTAACTAAAGACTTAGACAATATACTGCCGGGTGATGTCAAATCATCAGAAAGGAAGGATAGGACAGACGAGAGAGGAAAAAAAATAATAATAAAAGAATACATTGACAGAAGCATTAGGCGATATCATGCAGCAAGTATGTGTAGACTGTTGAGGTTGCATAATAAACTTCCCCCTTAATGGAGGGCAAGAATTATGCATGATCATATGTCTGTTTGTATTGCTTGTGTGCTGGGGAAGATGAAAGCAAAACGTTGCGAGGTAGAGATGGGAGAAAAGTTGTGGGAAGGTTATTTTTGGACCCACCAAGGCAGACCGAGCCCACCGTACACTGTGAGCGGGTCAGAGAGAGAGGCATGGCAGCCCCCTGGACAGCGTCCCACCCATTACAGAGTCACATTGATTAAATAGTACATGTTTATGGGAAATCAGTCTCTAACACTAGGCATAATGTCCATGCAACATTCTTCACATTTGAAATGTATAGTATAAATCCATCAATCCCATCTATCTTCTATACTGCTTATCTAGTACAGGGTGGCAATGGATAGTACTTCTGAGTAATACTGCAGTACAGATGTAACTCATAAACATCAGCTGGATGTACTATGAGATTTGGGAGATGCATCCATTTTTTTTTAAGTGGAAAACGGATGATGGTCTTTCCAGCAAATCGTGTTTACCTCCCTCACCATAATCGATGTCTTTGTGTATAATTTGTTTAGATATCAGGTGCTTTTATTACACACATAAACATCATTTACATTTCATTTACAGATGGTATCATCGGCTCCCATAAATAAAAGGAGATGCATTAAAAAAACATCAGTGAAAGGAAAGAATTGGAAGATTGGATTTTTTATTATGATCGTTTTGATTCCCAAAGAAGTTATTTATAGTTGATTTTCGTTATTTAATTACTTTTACCAAAGGCAGAATTTTCTAATGAGAATTCCAGTCAGGTATCATGCTTAAAATCCTCTTGGGAGGTGAACCAGCATCTTCCCAGTTTATCACCCCTGCCTCTGTGCGGTTCATTCTGGGAAGTGGGTCGCTCTGGATTTAAAGCAACCATGTAGTCCAAGTCAACTGATCAGCTTTGCTGTCCCGTAGGTGAACGAGGGAGACAGCGACGACACGGACCTACAGATCTTCTGCGTCTCCTGCAGCCACCCCATAAACCCCAAGGTGGCGCTTCGCCATATGGAGAGATGCTACGCCAAGGTGAGGAACTCAGGGTTCAAGGGCTCCTGTCAGCGTGTACGTCTGCTCTGTCTCTGCCACACTTCCATTTTGCTGGTTAAAGTGAATAGTGAACACGTTTCTGTGGAGCTCCGGGAAGATGCGTGTTCTCATGTTAACCCTGTCTATCTGTTTTCCTTGGGCAGTATGAGAGCCAGACATCTTTCGGATCCATGTATCCAACGCGGATTGAAGGGTGAGTGAGTTTATGGCTTTAGCCTGTAGCCACCAGTGAAGGTCATTCCCTCCTGAGGAAGCTCCAGCTGAACTGTGTCGGGCTGCGTCTGATAACGGGGCAAGAGGATGGAGAAATACTCAGGATGTCATTAGAACACAAAATGTACTTATGCAAATTTATTGGAATATTCTCCCATTTTGAGATGCTTTCCTTGTCGTAATAGTTGTTTTTGAATGTCTTTGCAGCGCAACAAGGCTTTTCTGTGATGTTTACAACCCTCAGAGCAAAACCTACTGCAAGCGACTGCAGGTCTTGTGCCCAGAACACTCGAGAGACCCCAAGGTGGGACATCAGGGCATCTGCCGCCCCGCAGCATATTCCCTCCTCGTGTGTCCCAGCACGGGGACCTCGTCTCCAGTTCCCTCCCCCCACGGCCACACTACCTGCCGCCTTTCACGTTTTTAGCTGACCTTTGTGCCCCCTCCTGCCGCTCTCTGCAGGTGCCTGCCGATGAGGTATGCGGGTGTCCCCTCGTCCGCAATGTTTTCGAACCCACTGGCGAGTTCTGCAGAGTGTCCAAGCGAAAGTGCAACAAGCACTACTGCTGGGAGAAGCTGAGGAGGGCCGAGGTGGACTTGGAGCGAGTTCGAGTGGTCAGTGCAGCAGTCACACATCGCACACACATCGCACACACGCAAGCACGCATGTATGCTATTCTATGTTTTGTCACTTAGAATCTTCCTTAATGCAAAGAAACTCAGAGTATCTAGTTGTTACTTAATTGCAATTGTCTTCCCTGCCAAATGGGAAGGACTATACAGTGTGAGTAATTATGTTCCAGGCCCTGTTAACTGATCTTGTTTAATCTTTAGCCCAGTTTTGTCATGGGGTGTGTTGGCTGACTGTAGTCTTTTCTTGTGCTTTTGATGACTGTCCCAGGAAGTTTTTTTTTTTTTTTTTTGCTTTTTTGCACCTTCCCTGTTTTTAAAGTGCCATTTTAACCCGAGTCAATCTCTCTCTCTTTGCTCTTTTTCCTGAAACTGTCTGGTTAATTTTTCTTTCTGTGACTTCGATGTAGAGTAACAAAATTACTTTATATTTATATGTCATAAAGAAAAGATTCCTTGAAGCACAGTTTAAGCAGTTTAAGTGGCAACGAGCTGCATCAGTGCATGCTCCCCAACCTGACCTGACCAGAAAGTTTCAAGCTATTTTTTAAAATAAAAAATGACCAAGGGGTTTATGATATTCCATTAAATATTGACAAACTAAACCTTAAATGTCACTCAATGAACAAGTATAAAAAGAGGTCCTACATGTGTTTAGCGTTTTACATTAAACAATAACAATTTAATGAAAATCACATAGGATCTAGGGCACAATTATGAGGATCAGTAATTGTAAATACTACTGTAGGGCATTTCCTGTAGACACAGATTTATGAAATTAAAATAGAATTATCCTGAAAAAGGAAATGCGGTTGAAATATCCAGTAATCATTTAGTAAACACTGCTTAAAACATGAAATTCTTATTTTTGCAGTCATTCCAGCAGTTTACATTGGTTGGGCAATTTTATGCAAAGCAATACTCTTATGAAAAGATTAATTTAATCTATAATGTAGGGGTTCCCATCCTCCAATCCGTGGCCAGTATTCCAGTAGGCCATGGATGCTGTCCAAAAATAAACTGTATTTTAAATCTTGTAAGTCACCCCCCCTCATTTTTTGTATGCCATAAACCAGCCAGCAAACATGAGGAGGTGCTGCTCCCTGGTGGCTGTAATAATACTTCAGGGCAAAGACCACATTAGCATGGCTCTGATGCTGTGACGGAAACGTGCTGTGTGACCTGCTGTGCATATTGACATCTTCCCCGGCTGACAGTGGTACAAGCTGGATGAGCTCTTCGAGCAGGAGCGTAACGTAAGGACAGCCATGACCAACCGGGCTGGACTCCTGGCTCTCATGTTGCACCAGACCATTCAGCACGACCCCCTCACAACTGACCTACGCAGCAACAAAGACAGATAGTCCTCCACTAAGGTCTGTGTCTACCCTGGCTGTTTCTCAGCAGTATTACTTGTCAGTATAATTCCCTGTATTGGCTAACCTGTGTCCCTTTTCTCCATGTTTTGTACTTAGAAAGCTGGTTGGAAGAGACTGATGCTGGGGAGGAACTTTTTTTTATCCCAGATTCACACTCTGTTTTGTGTCGCCTGTTATCCTGACCATTTACCTAAATATGTGCTGCTTTGACATTAATGATTTTACTTTCATAGAAAACAAGCTGGGAGATCAGAAGTCATTAATTTTGCCAGTGAAAGAATTATAATAAACTCCCAGCTGTTGCATGTCTGTGAATCATTATGTCACTGCAAAACACTGCCCAACAATAAATAAGGAGTTTTAAAGCTATTGTCTTTTCTATGACCGTTTGTGTCCAGTGCACTTTTTTTTTAAAGGATAACTTTTGTAATCATATTTTTCTCCCCAATGTATACTACATTAAAGAGAAACATTCAGGGTGCAAAAATGGATGTTTTGTATAAGCAATGTACTATTTGGTAGACATTTTGGATTATTTTATTATGTTTAATTTCCTGGTTGAAAAGACATGCTATAATGAATATAGGGGCCTTGCAGTAATGCACAAACATGCCAGTGATGATTTGTTAAGAGTCAAGGTTTTAAAGGAGAGCGTATATTCCCGGTTTTGTATGGGCAAGTTTCAACAAACAGTAAACTAAGCAGCTTGGTTAAAAATCCTTTGAAGGTCCTTTTTTTGTATGTGTCCTGTAACAAATAGGGGAAAAAAGAAATGCATTCTTTTGGGGTAGTGAGGAACTGGAGTGTGTATGAGGTCTTCAAGCAAACCTGAGTCACTTTTTTTTGGTTAAACAGTGATGGCAAATGTAATTTTGTGTTACTGTTTTAGGATATCTCTGATAGCACAAGTGAAAGACTTTGCTTGTGCATTTCTAACAACTCCGCTGAACATAAAGTAACTTGGACTCCAAAAATAAATAGGAATTAATACACTTGCTCTCACCTGCATATGTCTCATGGAGAACAAGATGGGGCAGGTGAAAAGAGAATTAATAAAGTATCACTATTCTGTTCTAACCAGTGACCTGAGAAAAAAATGCAGTAACAGAAGAATCTTTCCGTAACTTAGATGTTAAGTTGCAGCAGCAACTCAATGCAAAGGATCCAGGATCTAGGTAAAGGATCCCTTAGGATTCCCAAAATTGTTTAAAAGAAAAAAGAGAGATTAAGTTTCATCTAGCAACAACCGTTACACAACATCTGAAGAGTGAAACTCACTGCGAAGAATCTTTACAGTACCTGAGTTTGTGGAGATCTCATGTCAATGGTAACAAGGTTAAAATGACTATGTTCCTGTGTTTTGTTCCCTTAGATAACAATACTGGGCTTCATTAGCTTGTGAACACCGGCTTAGTTTTTGTTAGCATGCTAATGCTACTGCCTCTAAAGATCCCTTTTTGGTTTATGTTCAATGTTTATAACTGATGCGACAACAATGCAAGTAATTTTAAGGCTTTTTGTGCAACATGCGAGAGTCATAAATTTATTTGGTTTTAAAAATGCAACATGGAACAATATCCTCAAGGCCATTCTTATCCTTTCATGTTAAGTAAAGCAGCAGCTATGTATGACAGAACATAAACTGTGAATTTGGGACACTATGTTTTCCTTTTTTTCCCCCAAGTGAAAACCTTCATAACGTAACCATTTAAGTATCTACAATGCATCAGACATTGTCAGTTGCTTTTTGTTTTTGCATTAATGATTAGTAGTATGATTAGGAGCCACCTGTCTTTTCAAGCTCATTTCAAATTAAACAGACTTGCTTGGACACCTGCACAAATTTTTGTGCTTAATATGCATACGATTTTAAAAGCAAAGAGTTTATCATTTTACAATATTTTCATGGTTTTCAATGGGTTGTTACCACCTGACATGGAAACTGCAAATCTAACCATGAGTCAATATTTGACTTAGATCTCATTTTTTTATTGTACCATGAAGATCACTTGGGGTCTTCTTTATGATGTAACATTCAGCCCATTGTTTTCTAAAATAAATTACTAGCTTTGCGATACCAGATCATGGTTCTCCGATGGTGGTTATTTACATGATCCAGGATAAATAAAAGTCTTTGCTGGGTGGGGAGCCACCATCCTGGGTGTGGGTGACATAAAGTGCCTTTCCTGCTCTTCGGAGGGCTTGTGTAGATTTTACGGTTCACCTGCATGTTGGTGACGGGGCTGGTTTTGGGGGTATCAGTGTCAGGTGCTCGCAGGATTGGGCGGCCTTGCACGGCAGCTCCCGCTCCAGGGGCTCGCGCAGCCGCTTGCCCTGCTCTGGTCGGACCATCGGCTTGTTGCGCTCCTGGGCCGGCTGGGCCTCCAGAGCATGGCACATCTCTTTCCGGCCATGCAGTGCGACCTCTGCCTCTTGCAGCCCACGGTGTTTCTCAGCCAGCTAGGCCTCCAAGCCGTGACACGACTCCTCCTGGCCGAGCAGCACCATCTCACAGCCATGCATCGCAGCCTCCGCTGCCTCGGCCAGGCGCTTCTGGCAGTCGCGCTTCTTCTTCGAGCTGGCCAACTAACCGTGCAGCTGCTCCAGTTCCTGCCGCTCCTGCTCCACGGATTCCTGCAGCCGCTCCTGGTGTCCTTCTTGGGAGATTTATGTAAGGTGAATACATGTGAGGATCGGACAGGGTACACAAAGAACACAGGCAAACACACGCGCAACAATAGGGAAATGTAACCAGTAACATTAAACAACAGCAGCAGCAACAACAACAAGGGATATTTACAATTACACACGGGGTATGCTGGGACATGCACCCCACCAGTGCTACAGTACATTATGCATTATGTTAGTGTGCTTAGCCACAACAGTTAATGTAAGCACTGCAGTAATTTATTTTACTTGTTTGTTTGTTATAGAATAAATACATACATACTTTCCTCCAAGTGTACATCCAACTGACCACATGTAGGATATGCCAGAGATCTTAGCCGGTATATAAATTGAGGGACTTACGTGGTGAAATACTTGAGGGGACCATCAACGAAGCCGAGTTGCAGAAAGTCAAAATTTCTTCAAAATGCATATTCCAGGTTGAGAAGATTATGGACTCCAAGACGAAAAAGGGAAAGAAGTGTATTTTAGTACGTTAGCAGGGCTGGCCATTGAGGATTGACTATTGGATACCAGCAGCTGACTTGGTACATCTGAAGCCGTCTTCAGATTTTAAAAAAATGGAAGATCATAGCTCTTTCTACCTCATGCTCCCATTAAACTCATTCCCCAACAAGTGGAGTTTAGATTGTAAAGTGATGCTTTCTTGGTCTATAGAACTCCGGGTTCCCTACAAGGTAGGACACGCTGAAATTATGACACATGGAGAAATATTTTAAGAAAAAAATAATTCTTTCGATGTGAGGGATCTGGAGATTTATATAAGGTCAAACTCATTCAGAACATCAACTATAAATGTCAGGTTGTCATACAACAATATTTCAGGTTAATATAACAGGTCCCGAGAAATATAAATTAGATTTCAAGGTGCAATGGAATGAAAATTTGACTTTTACCTCAGCATAGTTGAATAAGGAGAGTTCGATACATGGAACTGACATGCCATGAACCTCAAACACTGTTGTTCCCTCTTTCAGATATAAATCCTGCATATTTAAAAGAAGATGGTAAAATGTGCTGATTTAAACCTTCAATCCTTGACTGCCTCAGTCTTAATCTCCAACTTAACATACACCAGCCAACTTTCAAGCCCAATGAACCTAACACCGTAAATCTGTTCTAACATGATTGATACCCAAAGTGCAATCGCTTTTGTATTTGCATGATTTTCAGTTGGAGAGGAAAGCACTACACGAACTACAACACGATATGGTCTTAGTGAGAAACACTGCTTGCACTCAGCTATCCAAGTGAATGATAGTGGTGTCAGATGTGTTAATGAGTTGTTCTTTTGAACTGGTTATTTTCAGTAAATCAGTCAAACCAACTTTCAAATCTACAAGAATCAAACTGTTTGTACATCCACACATTCAAAATGTAAAAATATTTGACAAATTATCAAATGAAAACACACAACATCCATTTTTAAATTAACTTACATTTGCTTTTCATAGACTGTAGCCATGTTGCCTTCACTGCCCCTCTGCATACCATAATCCATTGTTTGTGCTGTGTGCACATTCCTAGCCCAATGGTGGCTGTTGGCTTACTACTTCCGGCTCTCAGCAGTAAACAAGTCAGCAAGTTCGGCATGTTCAATGGAAATGGTTACTAGGCAATTCTAAATTAACTTACATTTGCTTTTCATAGACTGTAGCCATGTTGCCTTCACTGCCCCTCTGCATACCATAATCCATTGTTTGTGCTGTGTGCACATTCCTAGCCCAATGGTGGCTGTTGGCTTACTACTTCCGGCTCTCAGCAGTAAACAAGTCAGCAAGTTCGGCATGTTCAATGGAAATGGTTACTAGGCAATTCTAGTGTGACTTAAAAGACCCACAGGAGATGTTTAAGAATCCCTGAAAACAAACCTTGTGTTCATCCTAGGTGACTTTAATGCCAGAGTAGATGTCGATTACAACTCCTGGTCTACCTGCTTGGCTCAGTTCGGCATTGGAAGGATGAATGAGAATGGGCAATGCCTACTGGAACTCTGCTGCCATCTTAGTCTTTGTGTCATCAACACATTCTGGAAACATCCTCGATCCAAGCACTGGCACCAGCTTGACCTGATTTTGACCAGGTGCTCCAGCTTGCCCAGTGATATGGTCACATGCAGCTACTACAGTGCTGACTGTGACACCGATCACTCCCTGGTGTACAGTAAGGTAAAACTGCATGCAAAGAAAATGTACCACATAAAACACGGGGACAGGCCCTGCATCAATGTCAGCAAGACCCACAACTAGGGAAAAGTGGAGGATTTTGTACCCAGTCTGCCCAGTACAAAAACCAGCAAAAGAGGGGAAAACTTCAGGGATGTTGTCTACAGTGCTGTCATGTCCAACTTTTGAAAGAAGACCAACAAGTCAGCAGAGTGGTTTGAGGCCCAAATTGAAGAATTATTACCTTTTGTCAAGCAGAAAAGATATGCACTTCTCACATATAAGGCCTGCAGATCCTTGGTGCCCCATGCAGCAAAGTTCAGCAGAGTGATAAGCAATGCCCCAACAACTATTAGTAGTACCTCTGTTCTCAGATACAGATCGCTGCTGATGCAGAAAACATCAGGAGGATGTCCGAAAGAATCAGGCAGGCTCTGGGACCAACACAGAGGAAAACTGCCCCTCTGAAATCTGCCACAGGTGAGATAATGTGAGATCGGACATAACAGATGGGAGCGCTAGGTCGAACATTACTCTGAGCTGTATTCCAGAGAGAATGCTTTCACTGAGGTTGGCCCCCCATCCAGGGTTGTTCCCTGCCTCGTGCCCGTTGCTTCCGGGATAGGCTCCGGACCCCGCGGCCCAGTAGGATAAGCGGGTTTGACAATGGATGGATGGAATACTGTCACTGAAGACACCCTGAATGCCATTGAGTGTCTGCCCATGCTGGAGGAGCTTGACAGAACCAACCTTTAATTAACTCAACGAGTCCTTTCGCCTTTTTTAGAGAGAAGGGGCAGTGCCACAAGATATGAGGGATGCCAATATAGTCACGCCATATAAAAACTGGAGCAATTGCCATAACTATCACGCCGTTGTACCATCGGGAAACACTTTTCTCTCCCCAGCTTCATTCCCTGCCAGTCATCGGGGGGAGTCCCTGATCGCCCCGGACATCCCCCCAGTCACGAAGTTGCCTTCGCAGGCAGCTTCCCACTTCAGGGGAACTCGTTTGGTGCTTAAAGGGGCCAGGGCAGTGCTGGACGCTATCCCGCGGGTCCCGCGATCCCTTAAAGGGACGGCGCACAGCCCGGAAGCACCGATCCTGGAAGCCCTGGCTGAGGTGCTTGACCTCCTGCCTGATGCTGCCGCTCTGCCTGCGGCTCTCCTGCCTGATGCTGCCGCTCTGCCTGCGGCTCTCCTGCCTGATGCTGCCGCTCTGCCTGCAGCCATCCTGCCTGAACCTGCTGCCGCACACGAGGCTCTTGCTGGAGCAGTTGCTGCTGCGGCGCCCCCTGCTTGCCGCGTGCTGGCGGTTCCTGCAGTGGCGCCCCCTGCTGGCCGCATGCCCGAGGAGCCTGCTGCGGCGCCCCCTGCTGGCCGCGCGCCCGAGGTGCCTGCTGCGCCGCCCCCTGCTGGCCGCGCGCCCGAGGTGCCTGCTGTGTCGCCCCCTGCTGGCCGTGCGCCTGAGGTGCCTGCTGAGGCGCCCCCTGCTGGCCGCACGTCCGCTGTGCCCGCAGCCCTGCCTGAGGCCGCCGCTGTGCCCGCGGCCCTGCCTATCCTGCCTGCCCTGCTGTGGCCCCGCCGGCTGACGCCGCTCTGCCCAAGGTGGCTCCTGATGCGGCCACCGCTCTGCCCGAGACCGCCCCTGCTGCGGCTACACCTGTCCTGCCTGTCCAACCCTCGGCTCTGCCCGCAGCTACGCCTGCTGTCACGGTCCCCGCTCCAGCCCTAGTTCCAGTCCTCGAGGAGGTCCCGGACAGATCAACCACCGCTCCTTCCTCCTTGGAAGAGGAGGAACTCGAGTGGGACCCCTCGGGGACCTCCCTAATGACTCCTCTTCCCTCGCCACGGCACGGTCAAGCCCGACCGGAACCCCGCCTGTCGGTGTCCCGGAAAGGGAGAGGACACAGGCGCAGGGGTCGGGTCCCCCGTCGTCGCCTCGTCGGCCACCTGTGGTCCCGTCTCCGATGCTTCGGCGGCTGCCTGCGGGTTCCCCCGCTCCGAAACGTTGCTCGCCTGCGGGTCTCCCCACTCTGGCTCGTCGGTGGACTGCGCTGTCGCCTGCTGCGGCTTCCCCTCCCTCCTTGCCTTCGCCGTGTTCCCCTTCTGCTCCCTCCTTGCCTTCGCTGGTGCCCCCTCCAGCTTGCTTCTCTGCCCTTCCGTTGGTCCCTCCGGCTACCTCCTCTGCCCCGTCGTTGTCCCCTCCGGCTCCTGCCTTGCGGTCGT